TGTGTGTGTGTATGTGTATGTGTATGTATGAGTTCCTTAGGTTTTTCTCCTTGTAGGATTGTGTCATCTGTGCATAAACAGTTTTACTTTTCTTCCAATTTGGATACCTTTTATTTATTCTCCTTGCCTGACTGTACTGGCTGGAACTGACAGTACAATGTTGAACAGAAGTGGTAAGGATGGACATCCTTGTCTTGTTCCTGATTTTAGGGAGAAAGTGTTCAGTATTTCACTATTACATGTGATGTTAGCAGTAGGCTTTTTGTAGCTGCCCTTTATCAAGTTGAGGATTTTCCCTTCTGTTCCTACTGTGCTAAAGATTTTTATTATGAGTGTTAGGTTTTGTCAATTTTTTTTGGCATCTATTGAAATGATCAGCACATTTTGTTCTTTATTCTATGAATGTGCTGTGTTACAGTAATTGATTTTCAGATGTTAAACCAACCTTGTATTTCTGGGACAAATCTCACTCAGTCATGGTGAATAATCCTTTTAATATATTGCTGTATTTGGTTTGCTAATATTTTGTTTAAAAACCTTACATTTATGTTCATGAGGGATATTGATGTATAGTTTTTTTTTTTCTTTCTTATGGTATCTTGTCTTACATTGATATCAAGCCAATGACTCATTTTATAAAATGAGTTTTATAAAAAAGTTTGTAAAGGATTGGCATTATTTCTTCTTTAGATATAGATACTTAATAGAATTCATCATTGAGGACTGGGCTTCTCTTTGTAGAAGGATTTTTAAATTACTATTTTTTAAAATTCATGTTTTATGAATTGTATGAGCTCTCCAGGGAAACGGAACAAATAGGAAATATGTACATATACAACAGGGGATTTACCATAGAATTTGCTCACTCAATTATGGAGACTAAGAGGTCTTACAATATGCTGTCTTGAAGAGGGTGAACAAGGAAGACCAGTAGAGTGTAATTAGTCAGAGGCGGAAGACCTGGGGACTAGGGAGCAGCTTGGTCTAAGTCCTGAGTCTGAAGATCCAAATCCCTGGAGATTTGATGTCTGAGGGCAATAGAAGATGGATGTCCTAGTTCCAGAAGGAAGAGATAATTTGCTCTTCCCCTGTCATTTTGTTTTATTCCTGCTTTCAACAGATTGGGTGATGCCTACCCACGTTGATGAAAGCAATCTTCATAACTGTTGACTGGTTCAAATGCTAGAAGCACCCGCACAGACACACTCTGAAATAATGTTTTGCCAGCTACCTGAATATCCCTTAGCCCAGTCAAGTTAACACATAAAATTCACCATCACACTAACCGTAGATATATTTAGATTTTCTGCCTTTTTGGGTAAGTTTTGGTACTTTGTGTTTTTCTAGGAATTTATCAATTTCACCTAATTGCCTAATTTATTGGCATAAAGTTGTTCATAGTTTTTCCCATAATCCTTTTAAGCTTCTGTTTGGCAGTGATGTTCCCTCTTTCATTTCTGATCTTGGTAATTTGTCTTCTTCCTGTCTTGATCAGTCTAGCTAAAGATTTGTCAACTTTGCTGATCTTTTAAAGGTATTAACTTTTGGTTTCATTGATCTTTTTTTTTTCTTTATTGTTTTACTGCTTTTGGTTTCATTGGATTTGGGTTTAGTTTTCCTTTTTTAAGTTTCTGAAGGTGGAAAATTGAGTTAATAATTTGATATTTTAATAATATAAATGTTTAAAACTATATATTTTCCTCTAAGCACTGCTTCAGTGGCATCCCATAAGTTGTCTGTTTTGTTTTGTTTTGTTTTGAGACAGGGTCTCACTCTGTCACCCAGGCTAAAGTGCAGTGGTGCCATCTCAGCTCACTGCAACCTCCACCTCCTGGGTTCAAGCAATTCTTATGTCTCAGCCTCCCCAGTAGCTGGGATTACCTGCATATGCCACCATGCCCAGCTAATTTTTGTATTTTAGGTAGAGACAGGTTTCACCATGTTGGCCATGTTGGTTTTGAAGTCCTGACCTCAAGTGATCCACCCTCCTCAGCCTCTCAAAGTGGGAAGATTACAGGCCACCACTCTGGGCCCCATGCATTTTCTTTGTTTCTCTCTTTCTCTCTTTCTCTTTCTCT